GATGGCCCTGGCAGGTGCGCAACCGTTGTCGCAGAAGTTCGAAAAAGTTGCTCGCAAAAGCCCGTTTGACAGAAATGTTTAAAAAGTGTTGGGTTTCCTACGAATCCGCAAGAGCGCGCGGGATGAGATTTTGACAATTTTTTGTTGAAAAACCATTGGTTTTTTGATGTTTTTATGTTAAAATCGCTGCGAACACTAAGGTTTTGGAAGGATTTCGTCTTGCGCGCGCGAATGTCCACTTTACCTTATTTTTTGCAAGGGATTCTTGAAATTTGATTATATTAGAACAAGAAATGTCATTTTCTATTGTTTTTTGCAAGGGAAAGCGGATTACAACAAAACAACCGGATCCTGTACACACCCTCTTTTCTGAGGCTTCCTCACGAAAATGATGAAAATGTAGCTGCGGCCTAGGCGGCGCAGGGGGGGCGCGCACCAGGGGGCCCAACAATAATTATTCTTTAGAATAAATAATGTTCAACAACAACAACAACAAAACAAAAAAAAAATCTAGGCCGAAACGCCCCGCCCGCCCTTTCGACCGGCCTCGAGGTGCGACAGGGAGGAATCGTCTATAAGGGAAAAGAGCGGAGCAGGAGGAGGAGGACGAGGAGGAGGAGAGGGGTGTGTAGCCATGTTTGCTCAAGCCATTTGGCTCAAGCCATTTCCTTGGGGGGTATTTTCCCCTTGGGATGGGGAGCTCAAGTGCCGAGATACCACGCCCCCTTCACACTGCTTACATGCATAACAGCAAACCATGGGGCTGCATCTCAACGCGGCGGGCGCAGACATCGTAGTGGACGCCCTAGGTTGTGACGACGTCGTCGTGGCGCAGGGTTCGCTCAACTCGAAGATCTGCAACATCTCCGATAAAGGAGGGAGTGCAGGGTCACTGCCGTTTCCTCAGCGTCGCTGCTGTCCTCATGTTCAATTATGTTGTTGTTAGCTTCGTCATGGCGTGGTTGTCAGCAGGCCGTAAGGAGTCACATGTTGCATTGCCGTGCTCATGAGCACGAAGGGAGGGCCCGTGCTGCTGCTGCTTATGCTATGGCGGCGGTCGCCCATTCATATTTTGTAGTTGACCTATCTTGCGGTCAGAGTGCTAGGGGACCCCCGCTTGTACCTAGTAGCATACTGCTGGAGGTTCGCAGCTAGTCCATGTTCCGAACCCTCCTGTGTTGGGTTCTCGTGTTGAAAAGAGCACTGCGACCTCCACCTCCTCATGCCTCCCACCTCCTTCACTGTTCCCTGCTTCCTCCTATCTGTCCCCTAGCGCCCTCCTGCCTCTTCATCCCTCGGGGGCTGCGAACTGCGAAAATGTCTCGCTTTCGAAGGGTGCTGGAAGGTCCAGCGGAGTGACGCCGCGCCAGGGATTCAGATTAGACCTCGCCGTCCCTGGGGGGCTGCGAGCTGCAAAACTGCTGACACTTTTGAGGAATGCTGGGAGGCCGGGAGTGACGCCCCGCCGTGGATTCAGAATAGACCTCTCCATCGCTGGAGGTCTGCGAACTGCGAAACTGCCGCCGCTAGCGACGAATGCTATTGGGTACCGTGCAGTGTCGCCCCGCCGGAGACTCAGATTAGACCTCGCCATCCCTGGAGGTCTGCGAACTGCGAAACTGCCCCCGCTAGCGAAGAATGCTAGGGGGTACCGTGCAGTGTCGCCCCGCCAGAGACTCACATTAGACCTCGCCATCCCTGGTTGTCTGTGAACTGCGAAACTGTCGCCACTTTCGAGGGCTGCTCGGGGGCCCAACGCACTGACCGTTGGGGATTCAGATCAGAACTCGCCATCCCTGAGGGTAACGAATTACAAAACTGGCACAACTTTCGAAGGCTGCTGGGGGCCCAGCATTGTGGCGCCCCGCGGGGATGCAGTTCAGACCTCGATGTCCCTGCGGGGGCTGCAAACTGCCAAACTGTCGCCACTGTTGAGGCCTCACTGTCGCCACTTTTGAGGCCTCGCTAATTTCTTGCACTAGCATGAACAGCTGATCACTCGGGACGCCAAGGCGATATGGCGACGGCCTCGCTGCTCATCAGCGAGCCAGATGGAAAATCGCCATCCTCTTCTATAATCCCTGTTCCCTTGTCGTCGTCCGTTTCCTCCTTCCCCCACCTGCCCCTCGTCTGCTCATTGCAACAATGGGCCAATTACTCTGGTCACGTGATGCAAATGGGTTGGGTAGATCGCAGGGTCATGATCCAACTTGCTCGAGCCTGGAGGGGATTCCGTCGGCTACATGGCTAGCTTCGAGTCGGACGGTTTCACTGGAGCAAGGAGGCAGTCTCAGCTGCTGTGTTGAGTGGTGTGCACCTTCCAAGGTGGCTGGGAGGTAGCGGGGGTACACTTGCATCTAGAAGCTGATGCTGTTTATTGTTTCACGCTGCTGCTTTTCCCTACCTAGGCTCTGCCTAGAAGGGTTCTTACTTTATAAACTTAAAGGGCCGGGCAGTGTAAAACGCCCCGGGCGGTTCCCCCGGCATCCGCCCCGCGGTTCCCCCAGTTACGTCCCCTTAGTTTAGCGTTGCTTATCTCATCTTAGCTTAGCCTAGCTTAATTTAGCTTAGCTTAGCTTTAGCTTAGCTTAGCTCAGCTTAGCTCAGCTTAGCGCAGCGCAGCATTAACATAGCATAGCATAGCATAGCATAGCATAGCATAGCGCAACATAGCATAGCGCAGCATAGCATAGCATAGCATAACATAGCGCAACATAGCATAGCGCAGCATATCATAGCATAGCATAGCATCGCTTAGCTTAGCATAGCACAGCGCAGCATAGCATAGCATAGCATAGCATTGCATAGCATAGCGTAGCATAGTATAGCATAGCACGACATAGCGCAGCATAGCATAGCATAGCATGTAGATGTAGATGTACATGTAGATGTAGGTGTAGATATAGATGTAGATGTGAGTGTAGTTGTAGATGTAGATGTAGATGTAGATGCATGTGTACATGTGGATGTAGCGGTAGGTGTAGATGTGGATGTAGGTCTAGATGTAGGTGTAGGTATTAAGCTGTACTGTTACTATTGCTACTACTACCGCTACTGCTACAACTGCGACGATGAGGAGAAGGAGGAGGACGGCGTTTACCGTTACTACTAATAGTGCTCTCCTTGGGGCTCCAACTCCTAGGTAGGGTCGCTCTGGCATAATGTCCCGAAGGTCGGCCGGCACGTGCTTCCTCTCAATGAGTGGTGTGGCGCAACATGTGTGATGGTTGTGTTCGTCATCAGCTCCACGCTCCTCGAATTCGGTGCGGAGGTGCACGCAGGGGACGTCGGGGAGATCATCTTCTGCGCGCGCGTTGCCCAGGTTCTCTTTCGATGTGGAATAGGCTCGTCAGAGGCTCCAAAAGCTCCGGAAAGGAGGAGACGTAGGGGCAGGAGGAGGGAGGACCAGTGCAAACCAAAGACGCATCAGCGATGTTGCAATACACCCTCCCTCCACGCTCCCTCTTCAGATGTCTCTACAAGACTTTACTTTCACTGCGGGAAATGCCCCGTTGGAAGGCAAACATCTGAGAGTCCTCAGTCCTGCCAAAGCACAATTACTGGGAATCCAAAGCAGCGAATCAACGTTACTGTTGAGTCCTGACGATCCTGAATGGTGCCAGAACACAACTCCTGGGACTTCAGCACCGCGAGTCAAGCGACTGTGGTGCCCTAACAGTCCTACATGTTGTGCGGAACAGGCGAGGGCCACATGTTTAAAAGGAACGGCCCTCCATCCGCGAAACGACTGCAAACTTCTGAGACGAGTGTGCGCGGCGCTCAGGCGAGAACCACATTTTGAGAACCACCCGTCTCCCATCCGGGAAACTGCATGGCGCAATGGCGAGGGACAGATTGTGAAAAACACGCGCCCTACATCCGTGAGACTGTTGAAAACGTTTGGAACGAATGCGCGCAGCGCTAAGGCGAGAACCAAATCTTGAAGACCACACACCCTCCACCCGCGATACCGTTGCAATTTTTTGAAACGAATGCGCGCGGCGCTAAGGCGAGAGTCACATTGTGAAAACGCCCCGCCCTCCATCCGTGAGACCCGTTCAAACAATAATCTCCTGCGAAACGCCCAGCCCGCCCTACCAACACGCCTCGGGGTGCGAAAGGGACGAGCTGTTTATAGAGAAAACGGATGGAGGGAGAGCAGCAGCAGGAGCAGTAGGAGGGAGGAGGAGGAGGAGGAGGAGGAGGAGGAGGAAGAGGAGGGACACCAGGAGGACTCTAGGCGCTGGACTTTGCGCTGGAGGGTACTCAAACCATAGGCCATAGGTGGAACACATACAAGACCTTGCGAAACCCTCGGATCGACCGACTGAGCACACAATACTGGTGATGATGCAAATGACGATGCTAATGATGATGATGATGACGATGATGATGATGATGATGGTGATGATGATGATGATGATGATGATGGTGATGATGATGGTGATGATGATGATGATGATGATGATGATGATGATGATGATGATGATGATGATGATGATGGTGATGGTGATGGTGATGGTGATCATAGTGATGATGATGATGATGGTGATGATGATGATGGTAATGATGATGATGATGATGATGATGATGATGATGATGATGATGATGATGATGATGATGATGGTGATGGTGGTGGTGTTGCTGGTGATGATGATGATAATGATGATGATAATGATGATGATAATGATCATGATGATGATGATGATGATGATGATGGTGATGATGAGAGGAGGATGAGGATGAGGGTGATGATGCTTATGATGGTAATGATGCTGCTGCTGATGATGATGATAGTGATGATGGTGATGGTGATGGTGATGGTGGTGGTGACGACGATGCTGATAATGATGGGGAGTGCAAGACACCCCACCAGGGTCTTGAGGAAACCCCTTATACCGCGACCACCCCAGAGCGACATCGATGTATACCCATCACAAGTCCAGATGCCTGGCTGATATCCAAGCCTCAGCTGCCGACACATGCGGAGTCCTGCGCGCACATGCCGCCACGTAGTAGCGCCGCCCCCATGGCCGCCTGCGTACTTCCGCGCAGCACGAGGGACGGGAAGCACGGAAGGGGAGGAGCGGTAGCAACCGTTGAAGTCCTCCCTTCAAGCAGCCTTGGCGGCATTTTGCAATCACGCAAACAGAACGACGCGCACAGCATGGCACTCCCAGAATTCTGTGCACTCCTTGACAAGTATGTAAGGTACTGTTGGCATGGCACTTTGGACAACCCGATCACCACGTTCCTCTGCGCTGCCCCTACAGTGCAGCATGGCGAATGTAGCACGGCACGCACGGCATGGTACTGCATAGACGGCTGACACAGCGCGCACAGCAAGCCTCAACAGTTTGAGTTTGCATTGAAGGGTTCCCTCAGAAGTTGTAATCATTTGACAGAAAGACACCACCGATTTCAATGTGCGACGGGGTTCCCAAGTCAAAACTCGGAGTGCAATGCCCATAGAAACGTAGAAGAGTACACAGTGCAGATGGTGTCAGGACTCGAATCAGCATAAGGGGATGATAAGATCGAGGTGTGGATAACGCAGTGAATGCAGATAGTGCAGAGAGCGTGCTGGTTAACATTGTACAGAGTAGAAAACAGAGTGGACAGAATAAGGAGTGAATTGTAGAGACTACAGAACATGCAGTGCTTAAGTTACTTGTCGGGATGTCGCAGGCGAGAGCGGCATTCACGAGTAACTTGTGAGGCAGTCCTGGGCGGGAGTGCGAGTCCTGAGCGTCGGGAGCGAAGCGCCTTAGTGACTTGCGAGCATGCATGTCCGAGGCGAGAAAGCCGATCCTGAGTAAATTGTGAAGCATTCTCGAGAGAAAGCCCAATTCTTGAACAAATTGCGAAGAAGTCTCGGGCGGGAGCCATTGCTGTTGTAGTCGGGGGTGTCGTTGGGGTATCAAAGACACTCTCCCTGATAAGAAAGCCAAATGCGAGAGCCGAAGTGGACACGTCGATTGGGCAAAAGCGTGGGCCCCAGTGAGAAAGGATCTAGTATAATTACGACCCAGAAGGAAAGAGGCCAACAGAAGCCGATTGGCCAAAATCAATAACAAACGCGAGGCCAGGGTCACCAGAAATGCCCCCCCATTCCTCGATGGTCCACCCCGCTTGTGAAGTAAACAGAATGCAGTGCAGGTGCAACGCGGTGCACAGCAACGCAAGCCTAGAATTGAGCAACGCCGCGCGACACGACGACCGGAGCCCTCGACCCCGTCTTCCTGCGGCGCCTCCAAGGGCTGGATCGACCCGCGACTGCCCTGGGTGCCCGAAACCCGGCGAGAACGCCCAGAGTGCAGAGGATGCAGCGCCCGCCCCGAAGCGCAGCAGGGCGCGGGGAACGGTCGGCCGATCGAGCGAGAAGGACACGCTCTGCTCCGCGGCCGAAAGAGAGTCAGACGGCGGTCGGGCAGCGGCGAGGCGCGCCGAAGCACAGCGAGGCACGAGGAGAAGAGAGAGAGAGAGAGAGAGCCACGAAGGGAGAAAGAGAGAGAGAGAGAGAGAAAAAAAAAAAAAAGGGGGCTTTGAGGTCCAGTGCTGCCCAGGCCTGGCCCACGAGGAGGGGAGGGGCAAGGACAGGCCTCGGTGCATCGTTGGGTCGGGCATGTCCCCCTACAGGCGGATGAAAGACAGAAAACGGAAAATTGACAAAAATAGTAGAAAAATCGTCCCCATACAATTTTCAACTATTTTGCAATACTCCCCCTTGTAGAGGGCCAAGACCGACTCAAATATATCGCGGCGCGGTGTTGGCCGGCCTCCAGGCCCCAAGCGGCGAGTGGAGAGGCGGGGGGGCAGGGCGCCGCGGAAGGCGCCGGCGCGGGGAAGGGGCCCTGGCCGCCCGCGGGAGCCAGGGCCCCGAAGCAGGCCGCAGAGGCGCTCAAGGCGGCAGGTGGGAGGAGAGAAGGGGGGAGGGAGGGGAGAAGAGGGGGCGACTGAGGAGGCAGACAAGGGGTCGACGGACAAGGACGGGGCGGAGGAGGACTCAGAGGAAGAGGAGGAGGAGGAGGCTGTGGATCCGATGCCCGATCTTCTGGCCCTGAGGAAACGGAGGAGGAGGAAGAGGAGGAGGAGGAGAAAGAAGAGGAGGAGGAGGAGGAGAAGGAGGAGGTGGAGGAGGAGGAGGAGGACAGGAAGAGAGGAGACGGAGGAGGAGAAAGCGCTCGTGCCCTCAGGATGGTTCGTCTCTGTGGCGACTAGGCTCGCTGCGGAAGAGGAGGAAGGGGACCGTCGTCGTCGTCGATCGAAAACGGGAGCAGTCGCCTGCGCCCCCCTGTGTGGCCGCGCCGCCGCGAACCGGGCGGCCGTCGACGGGGCAACCACCGGGCTGCGTCCCGCGGTTCGGCGACGACGACGGGGCACGCGGGCTGTGCGACGAGACCTGGCGAGAGGGCTCCGCGGGGAGGCGCAGCGAAGAGCTGCGCAATGGTTTTTGCCATCGGCTGCCGAAAGTACCACAGCCTATCGGTGGCGCCAGAGGCTGTGCATTCGGCGGCCGAAGATGTCTGGCCTGCCATTAACTGCGCCATAGGTTGCGCTCCCAACCGCCGAAACTGAAGCGGCCTGCTATCGTCAACAGACTACGGCGGCCACGTGAGCGGGACCCGCACACGTGGAAGTGCAGGGCCGCTCGGCGCCCGAGACATGCATCGCCCCACACGGCACTGGCTCGTTGTAGCGTCTCCCCCCCTGGCCTCCGAAGTCTATTTCGGTATTTCCCCTGTTTCGGCCTCTGGGTGGCGTTACGTCTGGCTCCGCGGCCCTCAGCATTGAATCTGGGCCCAAGGAAATCTGATCCCGTGGAGGATCGAGACGTGTGGCGCCTGCGCATTGCGGAACTCACGTCGGCGGATGTCCGCCGCCCGTTTTCCTGGGTTGACGCCGGCTCTGGCCCCCCAGGGCCATCAACAAAGTACCCGTGATGAAAGTATGGTCCCCTGGTAGGTAGGTCGGTCGGTCGGTCGGTCGGTCTGTAGATAGGTATGTAGGTAGGTAGGCAGGTAGGTTGATAGGTAAGTAGGTAGGTACGTAGGTGGATAGGTAGATAGATAGGTACGCAGGAGGGTATGCAGGTAGGTAGGTAGGTGGGTAGGTAGGCGGGCAGCCTCCCGAAGAGGATTGTATGTTCGGCCCGCGGGCTCGGGTCCTTTGGCAGGGGGCTGCAGGGCCAAGGAGGCGACTGCGTCGACTCCGCGACGTCCACCCAGAGACAGAGCAGAATCGCTTGCGCGGGGACGGGGGGCAGCGGAAGGGCGGGGGGCGGCCCGCTCCTGCTCACCTCAAATCTCCGGCCCACCGCAGAGGAACCGCACTCTCGCCCGAGAAGCGAAGCCAGGGGAGGAGAGGGGAAGGCCCAGGGGAGAGGCTCCCTGCGGGGACCTCTCCTGCAGGGACCCCCTCCCGTACTCCTGGCCGACTCATGTCGACGCAGCACACAACTGCGGGGCTAGGTGACCGGAGAGAGGTGGAGGTTAAGAGAGCTCCAAACAGTACACCACAACCAGCCTGGGCCAGGCCCATCCTGAGCCCATGGTATTGTATTGCTGGCGTCCCTCTGAGGGTCACCCCGCGAGGAGGATATCGAAGGTTAGGGGGTGAGATCGCAGTGGAATGGAGACCCCCAACCGGGAAATCGGTTCGTTTCGTTCGTGTCGTGCGTGCGGGCGAGGCGAAGCTGCGTGGGCGCGCGAAAGGAATGAACCCGCCGTTGCTAGGGCGAAGTCAAGACAAATGATTATCCCCCTCCCGTCCGTCCGACGGTGGCCCGCGGTGGCCCGCGGTGTCCCATGGTGTCCCATGGTGTCCCGTGGTGTCCGCCGTTGCTAGGGCGAAGTCAAGACATATGATTCTCACCCGCCCGCTCGTCCGGCGGTAGCTCGCGGTGTCCCGTGGTGTCCCGTGGTGTCCCGTGGTGTCCCGTGGTGTCCCGTGGTGTACCGTTGAGTGAGATCGATAGTGAGATCGATAGAAAGACCGATAATGGGATCGATGTGGTGCCCCGAGGTGTCCCGTGGTGCCCCGTGGTGTCCCAAAAAGTGAGATCGATAGTGAGATCGATAGTGAGATCGACAGGTGTCCCGTGGTGTCCCGTGGTGTCCCGTGGTGTCCCGTTGAGTGATATCGGTAGTGAGATCGATACTGAGATCGATACTGAGATCGATGTGGTGCCCCGAGGTGTCCAGTGGTGTCCCGTGGTGTCCCAAAAAGTGAGATCGATAGTGAGATCCCGTGGTGTCCCGTGGTGCCCCGTGGTGTTCCGTTGAGTGAGATCGATAGTGAGATCGATAGTGAGATCGATGTGGTGTCCCGAGGTGTCCCGTGGTGTCCCGTGGTGTCCTATGGTGTCCCGTTGAGTGAGATCGACAGTGAGATCGATAGTGAGACCGATAGTCAGATCGAGAGGTGTCCCGCGGTGGCCCGTGGTGTACCGTGGTGTCCCGTTGAGTGAGATCGATAGTGAGATCGATAGTGAGATCGACAAGTGTCCCGTGGTGTCCCGTGGTGTCCCGTGGTGTCCCGTGGTGTCCCCCCGCCGTGGTGTCCCGTTTGAGTGAGATCGATAGTGAGATCGATTGAGTCAGATGTTGGTTCCCCCCCTCTCCCCCCCCAACCTCCTTATCACCCGAAGGGTGGCCGTACAGGAATTTGTCCCCCCGCGGCCCTGCCCAGAAAGCTGCTTCCTCGTGCCCGAGAAAGCCGCCCCCGCGCAGCCCTGCACTGAAACGCTACGCACGCACAGGACCCGCACGGGGACCCCGAGAGCCCCTGGAGGCCAACGACCAGCGCGAACAGCCCCGAGGGCAGGCAAGGCCTGCGGAGGCCCACGCGCACCAGCCACCGCTGAGAACGGCCGCCGCGAGCACGCCCCCCCGAACAATAATAATCATAATAATAAGAATGATAATGGTAATAACTAGAACAATAATGATACTAATAATAATTGTTATAGAAAAACGATAATAGCATTACTAATAATAATAATAATAATAATAATAATAATAATAATAATAATAATCATCATAATACTAATAACAAAAATAAAAATACTAATAATAATAATAATAATAACAACAATAACAATAATACTAATAATAATAATAAAGAATGACAATAGTAAGAATAATAGTACTAATAGTACTAATAGTACTAATAGTAATAATAGTAATAATAATAAATAATAATAATAATAATAATAATAGTAATAATAAAAATAATAAATAATAATAATAATAATAATAATAATGATAATAATAATAATGATAATAATGATAGCAGGTCGCAGCGAGCCGAAGCCTCCAACAAAACGAAGCCAGGACGAGGCTAAAGTCGGGTGGAGAGAAGAATTTCTGACGCCCGGCGGCTCTGGAGCATGTCTCGGGCGCCGCGGCCTTCTCAGAGCGTTCCGGAACGCTCTGAGCGCGATCTGGAACGCCCTGGAAAAATATTTAGCCCCGTCCGATCCGAGGGGCCCCCGGGGCCGAAGCAGATCGGAGCCAACATCCGCTCTGCGACCCTTGACGCCCGACACTCGTCGCCCAGGTGCTCCTCGATCAGAGATCAGGAGGCCTCGTTCCAACCTGGCCAGGCCCGACCCGGCCCAGTCCCCCAGGGATTGGAAGCGAGGAAAGGAGGGAGGAAGGGAGGGGGAGGGGGAGACGAGAGGAAGAACGCAAGGAGGATGGGGACATCCAGGGAGAACCAGGCCCTCAAATAGCGTAGCTGCGGATGCGCCCTGACACCTCCCGCACGGAGCAGACGGGGATGCGAAAAGGGGAAGAGAGGGTGGGACAAATCCTGTCTCCCTCCACGCGCCTGGCCCCGCAAAGTGGACGCCAGCGCAGGCATACATGACAGATCCCTGCATGCATCCTGCCCGCAGCGCAGGGGCACCTGGGGCCGCGAGAACACCACCAGCACTGCGCACGCCCCACGCAAACGGACCGCTTCTCCGCGCACGCCCCCACATTCGCACTCCCAGCCCGACCCAGGAGGGAGGGAGGGAGGGAGGCGCGAGGAGGGAGGGAGGGAGGGAGGGAGGAGGGAGGGAGGGAGGAGGGGGGAGGGAGGGAGAGGGAGGGAGGGGGAGGGAGGGAGGGAGGGAGGAGGGAGAGAGAAGGGAGAGACACGGGAGAGGCAGACGATGAGGCGACCTCGCTCGCAGGACAGGGGCCTGGCAGGCCGGGCCGACCCGACTACGGCGCTCCGGGCACTGCGCTGCGCGGAGCGGGAGAGCCCTCCCGGGCGCCTCCGAGGCTCCCAAGGCGGACTGCACGAGAGGGAATGAAGGAGGGAGCAAAGAGGAGGTAAGAGCGAGCCAAAAGGAAATTCAAGCGCATCGGGGAGCCAACGGCGATCGGAACCCCTCGAAGCCCAGGCGTCGCAGAGGTGGGAAGAAGGGGGGGGGACAAAGGGAAGAAGGAAATGAGGAGGGGAAGAAGAAGGAGGTGGTGAACCCAAGCGGACGCAAGAGGGAGATATGACGGGAGCGGGGCGCGGAAGGGGAGGGGGGGACGACGGAGGGGGCACGAGGCAGGAGGGAGCGGGCGGCGGGAGGGCCACGGGAACGGGAAGGGCGGAAGGGGAGAGAGGAACGGCGCACCGCCCCGTTCACATTGCCGCGCCCACATCGCAACGACCCGCCCCCTCCTCGCCCAATCATCGCCCACACCGCCCAGCCCACATCGGTCAGCCCCGTAACATGTGCGCACGGACCCTGAGGCAAAAGAAGTGGAAACAGAAGAAGGGCGGAAGGACCAAGAAGAAAGCAATGCCCACCCGCCATTCGCGGGCGCCTGCAGCCAGCCACGGGCGCGCGGGGGCGCCGGCGCGCGCCGGCGCACGCCGCGCCAGCGACGTTGTCAGCGCTCCGGCGCTGGCGTGCGCCGCTTGAACCGTCGCCGTCGCCGTCGCCGTCGCCGCAACCGCCGCCACTGATGTGTTGTGCTATTAGCTTTGCCCTCAAACGATTCGGTGTTGGCTGCTTTCGAATAGTTTCCGTAAGGTTTCCCATCAAGGGTTCTGGTCCAGGGGACTCTTTGTGTTGTCGGGTCTATGGCACTTGATCAGAAGGGTGTCGAGCAGCAGACACCGAAGACTTCACACGTAAAAATACGCGAACAGAGGGGGCCCAGCATGCATTCGGCACGGTTGGTCTTGGCACGTTGTCGTGTAAATACCAGGCGCCAACTGGGCCATCTAGCATGTGAGCGCCAGATCCACACAAAGAACACATGCGCGAAGTGGGAGGTTGGACCTGCGCCAGTCTCGCGTTCATGTTGCGCGTGCATTCACATGTGCAGGCACGGGGGGGGCATCCCACACTAGGGCGCCTGATCCTTCACGCGTGAGAGCACGCGTGGGGGGAGGGGGGCGAACAGGCGTCTAGCATATTGGTTTACGCGTGTGGGCGTCACGAAGGGCGTCGACCGCGTGGGCGCGGGATTCTTCGCGCGTGAACATGCGCGCGCGCAGAAGAAGGTCGAATCTGCGGCTGGCACGCGCTCATTTGGCACATCCTTCCGCTGTGCACGTAGGCTGCAGGGGCTGCCCAGCCTCCACGTGGAAACCGCGCGGAAAGGCGGTCCGAACATGCATGCGGCACGCCTGCATCCAGCGCGTGTTCTCACGTGCGAATGCGTTCAAGAAGGCTATCCACCATGGGGGCACCAGATTCCACACCCAGCGGCGGCGGCGGGCAGGGGTCCAGCGGGGCGGCCGCGCCGTCGGCCGCCAGGACCTCTCGCGTCGGGCGGCAACGGCGACGACAACGGAGGGGGAGGACTGTGTTTGTAATATGTACCGCCTTCCCTGGGGCCCTACAACTCGTCTTCCCCGTGATGTCAAAGCCTCTTCACCATGGTCTCAGGACGCTTCGGCACGCTTCCCTCTTGAGGATCCCGCGACAATCTCTTCAGGTTTCGCGGTGGGGCGGCCAAGGCAAGGCCCATCCAAAGTCTCCGCGTGCCCCAGCATTGCTATGGCTTTGCAATTGTTAAAGTACACACAAAAAATGTTTGGCATCTCGGGCATTGTAGGACGATGGGCTGATGGTTTAGCTCCTGGATGGCCTCTGTTTTCTCGTGCAGTGCTTCCCCCCAGAGCAGCTGCTGGAGGGGACTCCACCTCGCTCCGCCATGTTGTGTAATGTTTGGCAGCGTGGCCCCCAAAGAGCAAGTTATGTCACTGTGGATGTGCAGGCTACGCGATGCACAAGCGTCTCTGCGGTTCTTTCTTGAGAAAATCAAGTATGCGTCCTCGACACACACCCACAGGCGGCAACGGCTTTCAACGGCCGACAACGGGCTGGACCCTGGCGAATCACCGGAGGAACCCCATGGGCGGCAACTGGCGGCAACGGACCAGAGCATAGCGAGTCCCCTGGACACCTCCACAAGCGGCAACTGACGGCAACGGGCGGCAACTGGCCAGAACGAAGCGAATCCTCGGCACACCCCCACAGGGCGGCAACGGCCAGGAAGGGGCGGCCAGGGGCCTCATCCCCGACGCACCCACGGGGCGGCAACAAGCCGGAATGTGGCGAATCCTTGCCCTGAACCGCACTGGCAGCCAGGAGCCGACAGCTTCCACATCCGAACTGAACGAACTGGACACTTTACAGAACCAGTCAAACAGGGCTCGAACCCATTAAATTCGAACCAGCAGACCGAAACCGACTTGAACAAACGAACCGAGCTGGTTGGAACCGATCCGGGCCCAGACAGACTTGGTGGTCCTGAGGGACCCTGGCCCTGGGGAGGGCCCTGCAGGGGGGGGCCGGGAGGGGAGGCAGGAGGGGGAGGGGTCGGCGGCCTCGGGGGGGCCGGCGCGCGACGGTTTTTTCCCACGCCACGCGCGCATGCACGTGGGCGCCCGCGGCCCAACCCACGAACTCCGCCTTCATCGCGAGCTCCGCCGCGCCCGCGGGTCACGGCCGCAGAAAGCGCATGACTCGACTGGTCCGCCCTGCGCCTCCGCGCCGCAGACGATCCCCGGGATGGCCCCCGACAGGCGCGCCATCACGCACGCCTTGTGAAATTTCCACACGGTCGGGCACCACGGCGCCTGGCAGACCGCGGGCGCCCAGGGCTGGTGCAGCGGGAGGAGCGCGCTCAACGGCAGCAAACCAGTGTCCGCCAGCCGCCCGACCTGCTCCGTGAACCCGCGCGCCTCCGCTGTGTCCAAGAGGGGCCCACCACCTCCGCTGCCCAGGAGCGCACCAACCACCGCCGCCGCGCAAGGGTAGCCCTGGGTTCCAGGACCGGCCACTCGGTAACCCCACACGGCACGCCACTTTCTCTCCGCATCGATCAACCGTCCGAGCACGCTGAGGGTCGCCTCCGCCGGGTTCACCACCTCCGAGATCGGAGACGGCCAGAACAGGAGAAGCATCCTGGCCTGGGCCAGCCCCGCACAAGGCCGACGACTTGACTCTGGCTGGGACAGGCGAGAGCTGCAGCGAGGCCCCAAAGCCACTGTCCGCTATGGCCGCAACGAGCGGCGAGCGCAGGCCAGCAGTTTGGCGCGCGTTCGATCCAGGATGGGGCGCTGGCCAAGCTCGTGGCCAATGGGCACCCCCAGGACATCCAACGAGCCCCCCGCCTGGAACCCCCCCCTGCGATAGCCCCGCAAGCAGCGCCATCTGGCTCCCGGCCACCGCCATGACCGCTGGCCACATGCTCGCCCCGCCTTGGCAACGGCGGCGCCAGCGCGCGCGCCAAGCAGAGAAGCTCTCCGCCGCCGCCGCCAACTCGGACATCACCGCCCGGGCCAAAAAACAAGCATCGACGAACTAGAACACGGAGAAGGATCGCGCCCCGCCCGGAAAGGACGGCGGCCCGAGCCCGGCGGCGGGCACTGCGCCCACGCCCGCGCCCATGAGCCCCCTCACGAGGTCCCCGAAAAGGCGGGCGCCAGCCAGGCGCCCCTGGCACACGCCGAACTCCGCCACCACGAACGCTGCTGCCGTCAGCGAGCCCAGGCGGACACGGACCTGCTCGGGCCCCAGCGAGGAGCCCGCCACCATCCACAACTGCCCCCCTCACCCCGGCGAGACACAGGCCGCGAGGCGAACGCGCCCCGCCAGGCCAAGCCGAGCCCGCGCAGGAGGTCCCCCGTGTCCAACAGTGCCCAGAGGCCAGCAGCCCATCGGAGCTGCAGCAGCATCAGCAGCCCCCCCCCCGCCATGAGCACGGCGTCGCGACGGCCCCACGCCTGGGGGGCCTGGCGAACTCCTCCAGACGGCCGCGGACGACCACCACAGCCACGCCGCGTCAAAAAAAAAACCTCGGGGTCGTCGACGCATGGAAAGGGCCAGAGCTTGCGCGTGGACGCGACGACATGGGGCCCGCGTCTCCGAACGGGAGCCGCCATCCACGCCCACAGGGAGGCGGCAAGGCCCGCGGCCATGGCGCATCGCGGTCTGCCTCGGGCGCCCTTGCTTCACCACCCGCTCAACCAACTCCAGCTCGAACCCCGCCCTCCCTTGCTGCCTCCATGAGCGCGGCGCGCCGCGCCTCCCTCACCCCGCCAGACACCTCGGCGTCGAGGGTCGGCGCGCTGGCTCCGCGGCCGCCCCCGCCCCACCACGTTGCGCGAAACGGCCTCCAAAGCGGCCGCCGGGCCGAGCTGGGCGCCAGAAGCCGCGTCGACCAGGGCGAGGGCCAGCGCTGCTCGCACGGGCGGAGCAGGGCGCTCAAAGACGCCTCAGCCTCACACGGCGTCTTCGCTGCTAGGCAGAGATAGCAGCGCACATACCTAAACCAGTCGTCGGCAACGCGCCAGTGGCTGCGGCAGCGGCGATGGCCCTGCAGGCAATGCCACCCAGCCCCCAGCCACCGCCATGACCGCCCGCCCCTTGGCAGCGGCGGCGCCATCACGCGCGCCAAGCGGAGAGGCTCTCCGCCGCCGCCGCCAACTCGGATTCTTCCGCTTGGGCCCTCGACGAACTGGAGCGGAGCACGGAGAAGGACTGCGCCCCTGCCAGGGAGGACGGCGGCCCGAGCTCGAGGCCAGGCTCTGCGCCCACCCCTCGCGAGGTGGTTGCCAGCCCGGCGCCCTTGGCCAACGCCGAACTCCGCCACCACGAACGCTGCCTGCCGCCCTCAGCGCTGCAGGCGGACACGGACCTGTTGGAGGCCCCAAAAAGGAGTCCGCCACTACACACCACCGCCCCCCCACCCCGGCGAGCCAGAGGCCGAGGCGCACCGCGCCCCCCCAGCAGCGCCCAGAGGCCAGCAGCCCTTCGAGGCTGCAGCAGCATCAGCAGCCCCCCCAACAATGAGCACAGCATCGCGACGCCCCCCCGCCCGGGGAGACCTGGCGAACTCCCCCAGATGGCCGCGGATGACACCCGGCCACGCGGCGCCAAAGAAACCCGAGGTCCTCGACGTACGAAACGGGCCAGAGGTTCTTCATGGACGCGACGACCTGGGGCCCGCGTTTCCGAACGGGGGCCACCTCCTCCCGCGCCCACAGGGAGAAGCGCGGCCAGTGGCCATGGCCAGGTTCAGCAACGCCCAAACGACCAGTCTCGCAAAGCCTCCCGCGCGGGAGGCGCATCGCGGGTCTGCACTCGCTCGACCAACTCCAGCTCGAAGGCGCCCCCGCCCTCCCCGCTGTCTCCATGAGCGCGGCACGCCGCGCCCCCCGCACCGCCCCGGAAGAGGTGGCTCGTTGCGGATCTCCTCCTGGTCGAACGTCTGAGCCAGATCACCGACGCAAGCCCGCCGAGGTGCCCCCGGAGGGCGACGACAACAAACCGCCACAAAACCGCATGGCCCAACACTGCTCGCCACGCGGCCCGGCCATGGCCCGCCGCGAGCCAGGCGCGCATGCCTGGGCCCCAGGAGG